CATGAAAGAGAATGAATCAACTGGCTAACATAGATTAAATTAAAAGGAATGCCAGGTATATAATAAACAAAACTCAAAGTTAAAAGGGGAGTTGGGTTGGCTTCCCCAATTCCACGAGCAGGAGCCTTAGTGCCATCAGCAAGAGTGACAGGGGGTAGGTTATTAGAATAAGAAAGTGAAGTGAAGAGATCTTTATTACCACAAAGATGATGAGTAGCACCTGAGTCTATTATCCAGGGTCCAAGAGATGATTGATAAAAACAAATAACATGATTACCAGTGTCTTGAGTAGGATGCTGAGAAGAAACCTTCTTGAGAAGTGCCTCATAGTCGGCACTTGAAAGAGTTACTAATCCAGTAGAAGGTGGTGTAGCATCAGTTTGAGCAAAGTTGGCAGTCGGTGGCTGCAAATGAGGGTACTTCCTATAGCAGCGTTCTTCAAAATGCCCAATATTCTGGCAATAATTGCAACGAGGCCTCTGTCTGCGGCCACGTCCGCGACCGCGTCCACTGGTCCAATTGGAATCACTGGTCCGAGAAAAGAATGGAGATGGGGTAGTACCGGAGATGATGCCAGTCGTGTTTTTGGATGCATTACTTGAGCCCTCCATCACAAAATAAAATAAAGGAGATGACCAGATCTGAAAATAGGAGAGGAAGGTTCTGTCTCGGAATGGCTGATTTTTTTTTCGTGAACAGTACCTGTACGGACGCGTGAACAGTGAATCTGTTCGGACAGTGAACAGTGCCTGTACGGACGATGACCAATGACACTGTACGGACACGATAAACAGTGAAAATTGTACGAACTGTACGGACGCGGTGAACAATAATTTTTTTTTTTAAACCCTCTTGAATAGTGTAGAACCAAGCTGGAGGGACACACGACGTTAGAGGAAGGAGAGAATGCCTAAGCAGTGGGCTTAGGGTTTTAGCGGAAGCGAAAATGCCCAGAACGAAGAGCTCTGATACCAAACAAAGAACCAATTCAACCCAAAAGCTTAAGCTGTTAGGTGAGGCTACATTAATGATTTTTTATATATCTCAACAAGCTAAAAGCTACTTTTAAGCTAAAGCTAAAACTAAGAGCTTTGAAAATAAAGCTACAATTTGTTTGATTATTATATACAGTTTTTAGCTGATAAGAGCTTAAAAAAATAGCTCCTACTATGAGCTTTTGGCTTTTGGCTTTTTTCTTCATTATGAAAAAAAGTTTTTTTTATTATAAGAGCTTTTGGAAAAACTTGTTTGACCTAGCTTAGAATCCATCCATGGATTCTTACACATTAGGCTCCGTGCCCTTACTTTATATTCATGAATATATTATACATCAAACATCATACACACATCTCAACAGAGTATATAGTGACAATCTCATAGTTTCATCTGGACATACATCATTACTACATCAGAATTACATAGGTCATAATTACATCCCTTGAATCAAATGTACAATAAGCTAGTACAAAATATACATGGCTATCATCTAAGTGCATCATTATACATATTGTCAATAAGTTCATACAGTCCATATACAATAAGGTCCAAAATGACATCATAATTAGATTATACATATACATCAAAATAATGATCAAAGTCTATAAACTAGCAGGCGGGCTCTAAACTGGCTTCTTGCCATGTGATTCTCCAACACAATCAATAGGGGTACCTGAAATATAATCCCCAACACGGGGTGAGATAAAAATCTCAGTAAACCAAGGATCCTTGGAGCATCATTCCACTTTTAGGCTCACTTCCGGTGCATACACAATAATAACAGGATAGCATAACATACGCCACATAATAACCATGGAACTTCCAAGAGAGATCCTTATAGGGATGTTTCTCTTAGGTTTTTACCACTTGGAGATCTTTATAGTGTTGTTTCCAAGGGAAGCCCATTATATAATACATAATATAATATCTAACTGGATACTTCCAAGAGAGATCCTCATAGGACTGTTTCTAGGGGAAGCCCTTTTTTTTGTCATACATTTCTATTGGCCAAAAAATCATATAAATCACTCATTAATACAATTCATCATTTCATATCAATGCATGATTATATCATTCACTAGTACTACCATGTATCACATCATTTCAACCATTCCTCCCAAAGGAGCATGGTGGAACACACAAGGGGACTAATCCCAAGGTCTGGAAGTTTATCTCTTGTAGACTTCCTTAGGAAGCTTTCTTGGTATCCTAGCAACACGTCACCATACCCAACACTATGTGAACCTATGCCAAAAGTGTGGATGTGATCATAAATTATATGCTATACATAAAACAACAATCCAATAGCTATCAACTCATCAAGAGGTTCAAGTTAGACAACTTATCTTACACTTGACAACTTAAGGCTTCAAGCCCAAATGACTTATTCTCACTATGATAAAGTCACCAATGCATCCTATTCAAGGTATACATCAATTAATTCAACATACAAATACCAATATATCTGTATGCCACACTTCCAAATTCTAACAAGGTTTAGGTTGTAAGACTTACCAAATTGTTGGAAATTCAAGAATCTATGCTTTGGTTACTTGGTGGCTCCAATGGAAGTTCTTCCATCACCACTTCATTTGGCTCACAACTTTCAATTCAAACAAGAATAAACATCACCAATGACATTCATTTCTAAGACTCAACATACAACCACTTTATTTTGAGTCTAATTTTCTAAAATGATATAAGTTATGGTTTCAATGCTTTTCTTGGTTAAGACCAAGGTTGTCAAACTCGCGATTTTACGTAAAATCGTGAGGGGATAGTAAAATCGTAAATCGTAAAATCGCCACGAATCGTAAGTTTTTACTTTTAAAAATATATAATAAATATAATAATATCCAACTAACATTATAAATAATAAGACACAAACTCATAACAAAAAATTTAGAGACTAAGTGCATAGAGTACAAAGTTCATCAAATTCTCAAAGTTAGCATCGTCGTCGTCATCTCCCACGGCAACTTGTACTTGTTCTTCAACCATTTCTTCTACTTCCAAGTTTACAACCATGTTTTCTCCACTTTGGATTCCCACCATGTTTTCTTCAATTTGAGTTTCTAAATCCAAGTTTTCCTCTTGTTTTCCTCTTGGGCCAAATCGATTTTTTGTCCAAATTTTTTTTTTTTTGCCATCACTGCCCATGAATCGCTAACTCGTCCCAAATCGTACGAGTTTGCGATTTTGCACAGTAAAATCGCGATTTTAACGAATTTACTCAGAATTTCGATTTTACTACCGATTTAACTCGCCAAACAAAGTAAACTCGTAAAATCGTACGATTTTACGAGTTAACTCGCGATTTTGATAACCATGGTTAAGACTATATTCCTAACACCTTCTGTGAAGGCACCAAGGCCCATTTACATCACAACATTCTCAACCATAGAAACCCTCTTCAATCACATACTTTTTCCATGACCAAAATTTCGAATTGCATATAGTGTTGGTTTTATGATTTTTTATTCATTACATACACTTTCTAATCACTTCTTTTCAATGGAACCAGTCAAATTCACATCATTAAACACATTGGTCACATTCACCTCATGAACCCTAGATTTTAAACGTTCAAGAACATCCAAGAAAAGCTAAGTTTCTTATCTCAAAATTGCATAGAAATACCAATGGGAAGTTTTCCTAAGCTTGGAAGAAATCAAAGTCTCCTCCACCATGACATCTTCAAAATGGCGCTAGGAGAGGGGAGAGGAGTTCTCCACACACAATGCTTCCCAAGAGCTAAGGATTGTTGGGTTTACTTAGTTGAGGGCAAATGATCAACTTTTGTCTAATAGGATTTTTGCTTTGGATGTTTGGTTATGGAGTTAGAAGCTTGAGTTTCTCATCAGTGGAGGGGGAGGGGGGTTGCTCGGGTTTCTGTCCAAGAGGGTGGAGGGGCTACCGAAATTTGAAGAGAAATGGGAGGATGAGGTGTCTTAATCACTTATGACTTTGGTCAACATATTTGAGGTGAAATGACTAATTTACCCGTAATGAAACCCCCCTAATTCACCCATAATTAATGATTTAAGCCATCTAACATTTATTTTAACATTCACTAAAATTATTTAATGGTATGGCTCTATAGTATTTTAAAGTTTCGGGTAACTTTTGTATAATTGCATTTTTTCCTGAAACTTCCACTAATTGCACTTTTGTCCTGAAAAGTGACTTTATTCGTATAATTAGATTTTTCATCTACTTAACCTCTTTCTAATTTGATTCCCTATTTAATGGGCTTAGGTGGAGTGTATAACATAGAATTAGCCCCAATCCAAACAGTTTCTGTCAAATTATCATTTTGCCCTTTGTGGGAATTTAACCTTAAAATTAGGATTTTCACCCGATTAATCCTCTAATTAGACATTAATTTCTAATTAGTATAATTTGATTATTTGGGTCATTATAGTCAGTCTCATCATCTGCACACAGGATTTATCAAGTTTCGCAGTGAGTGGAACATCCCTACTTGAGGAGGATAAACCACCCATAATCACTTTTGAGGATCAGAGGAAATGGAGGAAGGAACTTGGTAAAGTACGTTAAAGCTACACCGAATAGAGGATTATTATTCAAGAGGAGGGGTGAAAATCTACCCATGGAAGTGAATAAGATGTTGATTATATAGGATTAGTTATTAATAGGAGGTCAACTTCGGGTTACGGTATGATCTTTGGAGGAGTAAGGAACAAAATGTTGTTGCCAGTTCAACCGTAAAGTTTGGTATTGTTACATACGCACAATATCGTCCTGTTTGGCATACTCTCTTAACTTCAAATAGAGTTTCTTTTACTGTTTTCAAGTCAAAGTCTTATTATCTGTTTCTATTTTTTTATCTCTGTCTTTGCTATGTAATGTATCTCTGACCAGATGAATAAATCAAGAGATGGAATAATTTCTCCAAACTGTGATCTTACTATTTTTATGATCTTACTATTTTTATGGCGCTTCATGATTGTTGTATGTTTTGTCATTTTCCTTTGTTTTAGGTGGAACAATCCCTTCTAGTGACAGGTTTCGGGTATGATCATGATGATGCATGGGCTACTAACATAGAGTTATTCAAAGAATTTACTGATGTCAGCCGGGTATTCATCTAAAATCTATTAAAAATGCACCTTATATATCTGCCTTTCACTTATCATTTTCTTGGCTTTGATGTTCAGGGTGTAAGACGGCTTGGTGCAGCTGCTGTGGACATGTGTCATGTAGCTTTGGGAATTGTAGAAGCTTATTGGGAATATCGTCTAAAGCCATGGGATATGGCTGCTGGTGTTTTGGTATGCCTTATGTCCCTGCATCTTTAAGATTGGATTAAGGGTTTGGGTTTTGCTTGGAAAAAGTGTTTTTTCTTAAAGAATAATAAACAAGCAAAAACTTATTTGTCTTGTTATATGTAACAGATATTGTATAATATTATGATTTTGATATAACATCATAAAACAACTCTTCTAAAAGCTTAAGTTGTTAGGTGATGACTTAGGAATGTTATGATATATGTGAAGTGCTTTCGACATTTATTGGATCATTTACTTTTGAAAATATTGTTTACTGAGTTTTGCTCCATTCACTTGTAGATGGTTGAGGAAGCTGGTGGCACAGTTTCTCGAATGGATGGAGGAAAATTTTGTGTTTTTGATAGATCTGTTTTGGTTTCAAATGGCATGACCCATTCAAAGGTTTGTCTTATCTGATTTTGCTATTGGGAGACTTTCACATTGCACCTTGAGGGGGTGTTTGTTTCAAGTTTTTGGAAAGGATTACCGGTAATCCTTCTTTGGTAAATGTAATTACCACGTTTGGTAGGAGGAATAAATTACGATTCCCGGATATTCAAGGATTACCGGTAATTTGATTTATAAAGAAAAGTCACTATTCAGATTACTAAAAATAATATGGTAATTCGGAATACCAATCAGAATATCAAGTAAAGGGAAAGCACAACAATAAATTTTGAGACAAAAATACCCCAATACACATAAAAATCTAGACCCGATCTATCAATTACAAAAGTAAAAATAGTTTGGGGTTATTTTTGTAAAATAACCTCATATTCCAAGTCATATTTCGTTCTAAACCAAATATGGAATCAGTAATTTTTACCCAATATTCCCAGTAATATTTTGGCGAACCAAACACCTCTTTCGTAAGATTCCAAGTAAACTCAATTTCTATTGTATTCCCATCAATCATGATTCCCGGTCACCAAAAAATTTCTCTTGTACCAAATACACCCTGAAGTTAAAGCTGCACTTGTGGTCCTTTGATTGTACCTGCCCTCCCAAGTTTCCTTACCTTTTGAAAATACTACCCCATCTCATTTCTTACACGTCAAACCAGTAAAATTATAAGGTCCACTGTTGCATTTAGATAATTCACCATAAACGTCTCCAAAGCATTGATATATCTTTTGAAATTGATCTTTGTCCTAGTTCTTATATGAAACATATAAAGGTGTCCTTTACTTTTATGTGGATGTAATTAGTTTACCTTAAATGAATCTGCCTATAGTAGATTCATAATTGAATTGAGACAGAGAGAGTATGCAGAATACAAAATGGAAGGAAGGAAATCCTTTATGCACTAGATAATTGGTTAGTCTCCCTGTGTGCGTATTTATGCTAGTAAACCTTCCGCTAGTTTTAGTATTCTACTGCATAGTTCCGCCCAATTTGCGTTACAATCTAGCACAAAATTATTCTTTGAAATCCCCTTCAAACTAGAGCGTGGAGGTTAATCATGCCGATTTTGAGGGGATTGCTTCCTTCCTTCCCAACCCTTACTCAATTATTGATTAGCATATTTTAGGAATTAAATATTTGATTAGCATATTTTCTCCCAACTCTAATCAGCAATCAAGTCAACAGTGTGCTTCTGTTCCTACTTCCAACTCTGTTTCCTGTAGTCCTAAGACCTTATGTACTAGTTCCAGTAATTCAGTTTGTGCTAGTACTATACCCACTGATGTACTCACACAAAGCACAGCTAATAAAGCTAGTAGCTCTGTAAATTCAGTAGGATCAAACTATATGTACTCTCTTTGGCATTGTAGACTGGGACATCCTCACACTGAGGCCCTAAATTCAATTCTAAAGTCCTGTAATATTCCTATTCCTAATAAAACAGATATTACCTTTTGTTCTACTTGTTGTTTAGGAAAAATACTCAGATTGCATTCTGGTCCATCCACCAAAGTGTATGCAAAACTGTTTGATCTTGTTTTTAGTGATCTATGGGGTCCAGCCCCTGTTAAATCTACAATGGGCTTCACTTATTATATATCCTTTGTAGATGCTCACTCTAGATACACTTGGATTTATCCTCTCAAACAAAAGTCAGAAGCAAAATCAGTTCCAAGCTCTTGTGTCAAATAACTTTCAATCATCCGTAAAAGCTCTTCAAACTGATTGGGGTGGAGAGTTTAGGCCATTTCATCTACACCTTAAAAATCTTGGTATAGTTCACAGAATTGCTTGTCCTCACACCCATCATCAAAATGGTGTAGTGGAAAGGAAACATCGACATATAGTTGAGACTGGCCTCACCTTACTTGCCCATGCATCCTTACCCATAAAATTTTGGGATCATGCCTTTATCTCGGTTGTTTATCTCATCAACTCTCTACCCACTGCTGCTTTAAACTTTGAGGTTCCTTTTGTGAAATTACACAAAACAATTCCTGACTATAAATCCTTCAAAGTCTTCGGCTGTGCTTGTTTTCCTTTCCTAAGACCATACAACAACCACAAATTAGAATTTAGAAGCGGTGAATGTATTTTCCTTGGCTATTCTCCTACTCACAAAGGCTATAAGTGTCTGAACTCATCTGGCAGACTCTATCTCTAAGGATGTTCTTTTTAATGAAACAAAATTTTCCTATCCACTTTGGTTCAATTTACCTTCCATCATTGCTGCCAATAATTCTTCTCCACCTGTTTCTAATTTGATTCCTTTAGTAACATCACCAACCAAGTCTGATGCTATTGAACACTCATCATGCTCACCATTATTGCCATGTTCCAACATTCCAATTTTCAAGCATCCAGCTGCAACATCTCAACACCAGCATGCACCTTACCTCAACCAGTATCCTTCTCATCATGTTCCAGTCCTGTTTCATCCCCAGGCATGTCACGTTCAAGCAGCAACAGTACTACTCCTCAGCCAGCTTCAACTGTTGTCTCTTCAAGTTCAGGTTCTCTTGTTCCTATTTCCTTTAGCACCACTTCTTCTTCTTCTAGTTCTGGTTTTGAATATGTTCCTTCTGGTCCTCTTAACAACTCACCCACTCACTCTATCACTACCCGTTCAAAGACTGCTCACATGCCTCAAATCCTTTCAACTTCTCTTGAACCTAGCACAATTAAACAAGCCTTGGCCAACCCCAACTGGTTTTCTGCTATGCAATCTAAAATGGATGCACTGCAAGTCAACTCCACTTGGTCTTTAGTTCCTCTTCCTCCCAACAGAACAACCATTGGTTGTAAGTGGATTTTTCGAGTCAAAGAAAACCCAGATGGTTCTCTCAATAGATATAAAGCCAGATTGGTGGCAAAAGGGTTCCACCAACAAGCTGGCTTTGATTACACAGAGACTTTCTCTCCAGTTGTGAAGCCTATTACAATCCGTACTGTTCTCACTTTTGCCATTTCTTTTGGCTGGACACTAAGACAACTAGATGTCAATAATGCCTTTCTCAATGGCACTCTTAAAGAGGAAGTTTATATGCAACAACCCCCTGGCTTTGAGTCTCCTAATAAATCACTTGTTTGCAGGTTACATAAAGCACTTTATTGGCTAAAGCAGGCACCACGAGCTTGGTAACTGAGGGTAAAGGTGTATAGCTGTACTCAGGGTTACTTTTGTAATTAGCTAAATAGATCAGTTTAGTTAACTGATTATAGTTACAACTGAACTATATGACGTGGCACAAATCTGAGCTCCATAAGAGCACTTATGTATTATTTTCTGATTCATTCAATCTAATTAACTATTCCTTCTCTCTCTCTCTTTTTCACTCGCTCTTTTTCTTTTCTCTCTCTGATTTCTTTGACACAGCAACTAGGACAATCCAATGGGGTTTCATTGGAACTGGAAGGATCTGATGAGATCAGACAACATTTGGGACAATCCAATGGGGTTTCATTGGATCTAGAATGATCCGATGAGACCAGACAACAATTGGAACAATCTAACGGAACTAGATTGGAATCGGGACAATCCAACGGGACAAGAGTACACCTCCCATATTTCTCCCTCAATGCTATGTTTAGCATTGGAAAAGAGACAAACAATGACATGAAGGGCTAGATCTATATCTAACAAGAGAATAGTGTGGGCATGTTGAACTAGAGGATAAGAGGATCGAATGATCACAAGAAGCCTAGACAGTAGCAAGAGCTATTGGGCGGACACGGAGAGACTTGGACAACAAAGAAAAGAAGTTGGAAAAAAGCGAAAATAGGTGCCTGAAAGGCTGGAATGCTGATAAAATGTTGGAAAAGGCCAAAAACAATGGGCCCTCAATAGGAAGGACTAAATCTGGATGAATCTAGCTTGAAACACCAAGGAATTGCCAGAAAAAGTCTTTAAAAAACCCCAAAATGGAGGAGAACTCACCAAAAGAGTTGGAGTGCCCCAAAAAAGGTCCACAAACAGTGGGCACACAATCCAAAAACCATATATAAACTGTGGGCCCAAAGCAACAAGCTTTAAGTCTTACGGGGCACATTTGAAGGCTTCTGTACTTATGTCTTGGATGGATTGATTCCTTGCTAGCACAATCCAAATTTGTCAGTCACTAGCCAAAGAAAACAACCGGTAGCACATAGATGTGGGGAGTGAGGCGCGTTGCTGGCTAGATGATAGTGGGTCCATTGGGATGCTCCAGATCCGGTGGTCATTGACTGAATAAATTGCTAGAAAATTTTCGCGGGAGCAGGAAAAGTTACTGGAATTTTTTTCTGGTTTGGCGGTGAGCGACTGCTTGAGGAGAAGGGTCACCCAAGAAATGATAGAGGATGGTCGGTACAACTATTTGAAATATAGTGGAAGAAACTAAGGAGATAAGGTTGACAGAGAAAAAATGTCTGAGATGTAGCAGAAGAAACTGAAGAGAGAAGGTTGACGAAGAAAGGAGGTAATATAGAATTTTTGATTTTTTTGGTGCTCGACTGCAAAAGAGTGATTGGACAAGTCGCTGAGGATGGTTTCCGCTCTGATATCAAGTTGAATAACATAAAGAAGAGATTAATGTTTAAATCTGTGTGTCAATAATACAAAGGAGGCTCTATTATTTAGAATATAACAATTACATAAAGACTAATGTAACAATGTAGGACTTTTTGTCAACTTATTTTCGATCTTTCTAACACTAGTTAACCATGGAATTCTTTGTACCAAAAAAAAAAAGCAAGGAATTCTAGCCTTCACTGTAGATCATCTTTTCCGGATGCTTTGGTTGGTTCCAAATGTCCTTACCTCGCAAACTTCCTCCTCAGTCTTCAATTCAAACTACCTCCTGGCCCAATGGAAGCTCTTAACACAGCTGCTTTGCCTTTATCTGTTCACGGTACTCGAGGTGAGATTTTCAAGTTCATCACTCTTTCTGGGAATGGATCTACATGATCATGTGTAGATCGAGTTAAACACAAAGATCATAAAGATTGAGACAGACACAAGGTCTCACAAATTTTAACAAGTCCCGGCTATTTATGGTCTTCGTGTGATTCTGCCTGACATACCTTATCATGTGAAAAATTCATGTGGGAGCATTTCCTCTTTCAAGGTCCCCTTTCCTTCCTTTGAGTTCACTTTTTAATTTTATCCGTTCCATCTATGAATGCTCCCATCCACAGCTCCCTGGGAACTCTAACATCAATTGATAGGATACTAATTTTGGTGTTGTCCATTGAATTCATTACTGAAATCCCTTGCCTCTGCATCTGATACATATATCAGTTTGGTGTATGGCTGTTCCACTACCCACTGTACTGCGTTATATTGTTTTTGGAGTCCACTGATTCGCCCGTCTATCCAGGATCAACGACTATGCTTGAGATTACTAAAAAAATCCTTCAGAGACTATATTTATGAGATTTTGACATTCTTGTTTTGGCTCTATATTTTATCTGCATCATATGATAATACTAAATTTATATTGTTCACAGTTACTAGTTTTCTATTGAACTTATTTTCTGATTTCTACGAGTACAGAATGTAAGTGGAATGAAATAAGTGATTTTGATAGACTGTGGAGTGATTGGCGGTTAACTGAAAATGTGATTTTATTTTTCGGGGATTATCTGTTTAATTCACAGCTTCTGGAGAGAATTGGACCTGCAACGGAGAAATTAAAAAGCAAGGGAATGGATTTCTCATTGTGGTATAAACCAGAGGGCTACAGGGCAGACATTTAAGGTGCCCATAGGAATTGTTTTCGCTGGTGGACACTACTACAGATTTTAACAGCAAGAGGATGGTACTGTTCTTTTTACTTGTTCATTTGTTTAAATCTTCCAGTAATTGTAATGAAATACATTTGAATTTTTTTTCTTGATTACATTACTTTATAACCGTTCAACTTTAATGAGCCACATGATTTGGACGTTGAAATGTTTCCAATATATTTCTCCAAGTGCAGTGTTTTCAAAAGAACTTTTAAAATAGGGAATGGTTGTATCATTAATTAAAAGTTAAAATGGGAGTTACTTGACATTCAAGCAACTCGCTAATTAGGGGGAAAAACAAAAAAATTGATCTTTGTTAATTGGTGCAGAACCCGTAACTCTTTACGGTCCTCGTGAGTTATGCCTTAGGATCTACCCGTTAAAACACTTTGGGGTTTTAGGATTACCTTTATCACTTGTAGACGCCAAAGTGGATGGAGTCCTCTAACGTTGATCCATACAACCTTCTCTTGAATGCAAGCGAGAACCTTTCTCCTTGGATGCTTGCTAGGAAATGGCAAGGTGGAGGCTTTAAAGTGTTTGGGTTTTCTTTCCTCAAGACTATGATGATGTCTTAAGGTTAAGTGGGGCAACAATGTAGGAGAGGATGGATGGTTTGAACATTCAAACTTAAATCTTATTGGACAATTTATTCATTAGACTTTCAACCTTAATTTCCTATTGGTTAATTTATATCAATCTTTGACTTCCTTGACTTTAGCCTTAATATGATCATAAGGTCATCCAATATGTATAGGAATTTTACTAGTTTTCATAACTTACAAAGTCTTGAAGATTTTACAATTACTTTGACTTAAAACAATTTCTATTGGTTAATAATTATCCATGCTTTGACCAAATTTTAAGAATTAATCTAGACATTATTTGATCAAAATAAAATCACTTCTTTCACATAGAAGAACACAAATAATTTAATTAAACAATCAAAATTAAGTTTAGACCTAGTTTCACTTATTTGCAAACTAATCCCTAAACTTTCACATAATTATACTTTGACCTCAAATCTTTTACATAATTTCTATTAGGATCGTATTTGACTTGCCTGACATGAATTGTATCCTTCACTTAATTATCATATAATTTACATGATTTACTGTAACACCCCGTTCTAGAACCGGTTCGTTAACATCGCATTATGATATTAAGCGCAGTTACAATCACATTGGCTCAATTAAAATCCGGTTAAATTTTTCATTTTAAAACATGCCGTATTTCAAATGCCCAATTGGGTGATCATAACCATATTACTTTGCGGAATCAGATAAACCAAGCTTAACATCATGTTCTTATTCCATTTTTAAACCATTAATTTACTTCTTATTTATTTCCCAACTTCTACTATATTGTAGATCTCTTCGTTAGCTACACGTGGTTTCAAACCGCTCCTCATTTGGAGCTCTGTAGCTCAAGTTATGACAATTTTGCTAACTCAGGTGTATGCTGAAAAACTACGCGGGCAAGGCGCTTAAGCGCGCTCCAGGGCGCTTAAGCGCCCACAGACAGAGGGAATTTACATTTTTTAGCCGCCAAGGGCGCTTAAGCTCGCTCCAGGGCGCTTAAGCGCGCTACCTGGGCGCTTAAGCCCCCATTTTGGGCGCTAAAGCCCCAGGCGGCAGAAAGCTTTTGGTCTTCACAGGTGCATCAGGGCGCTTAAGCCCCCTCATGGGCGCTTAAGCCCCCTGAGCAGGCTTAAGCCTCCATTTGCAGGCTTAAGCCCCCTCTTCTGGGCAATTTCCTATACTCATATTTTTCATGTATCTTTCTTGGGGAATCAATCTTACACATTTAACAAGCTTGCGATATCCTTATATCATTGCTTAACTCTCATCCTCTCATCATTGATTTAACAGAAATTGGGCAGCTTAACCTTTGTTTTCTCAACGTTTCCCAACTTAGCACAAGGTACCTAATTGACTTTCCAACTCAACATATCCAATACATAAAAATACATTCATGCATTTAACTTACAGTAATCATCATACACAAATATCTTCATTGCTTACAATATTACATCATGTCTTAATTACAAATCTCATGTACATGACAAAGGACTTAGCTACAAAATGAACATGATCAAAGCAAGTAACCATGTATCAGATACCCATTACTACTACAATGATCATGCACTAAGTCCTCCAAAATACATCATATGACATCAAAATATACATATAGCAATGCTAAATGGCATGCAACTCAACATGTCCAGCTATCAGGTACAGTCTACTCATGCTTCTTGCCTTGATCAACCTCACCTCTATCAGTACCTGAAATGATGCCCCACAACACGGGGTGAGATATACGAATATATCACAGTAAACCAGAGGTCCTTGGAGATCACTCCACCCTAAGGTCCACTTCGATGTACACATAATCATAATAGCTTAACACATTCTTATCCACAAGCATCACATGGACTTCCAAGAGAGATCCACTAAGGGCTGTTTCTCTTAGGCTCTTACCACATGGAGATCCACATAGGACTGTTTCCAAGGGAAGTCCTTTCCTCAATCTATTCCAAGAGAGATCCTCAAAGGGCTGTTTCTCTTAGGCTCTTACCACATGGAGATCCACCTAGGGCTGTTTCCAAGGGAAATCCTTTCCTCAATCTAGGAACCTCCAAGAGGGATCCACATAGGGCTGTTCCTCTTAGGCTCTAACCACATGGAGATCCACATAGGGCTGTTTCCAAGGGAAGTTCCTACCAATCATCCTCATCATAATACTATCACTCATAACCTCAATCACAATCCTCAACCATTACCTCATTCATTATTGCTACTTCTATAACCATTCCTCAATTACTCTTAAACAATCAAACATCAACCAATAATCATCAATCAATCATAACATGTATCAATGCATGAATCAATGCATGAGCATACAATTACTATCATAATTACATATCACATCTCATAAACCATTTCTCCTTAACGAAGTATGGTGGAACACTCAATGGGATCAACCACAAGGTCCAAAGGTTTACCTTGCTCTTGAGCTTTCCTCAATTGCACACAACCCCAAGGGTTGGTCACTCCACTTGGTCTTCTTGCCTCAATCCTATCAACACAAGGAATACAATCAAACAATGCTAACAATGCAAGGAAATCCATAGTTCCAAGCCTAGATTTCTCCAAACATCAAAGCATACTAAAATAACACTATAAACTCATTTCTACCGATTAAATGTCATTCCTAGCATTTTTCACAACATACTCTAAGCCTCATTCTTCCTTGAACATAGCCAATCTACTCAACATTTCATAAAAACCCTCAAACACTATTCATTAACCCTAAACTCATGCAAATCTCCAAGAATCATGTGAAAGAGAGTGGAAACTTACCACCAATGATCACACAATAGAGGAATGAGTGTTCCTCAAGATTCCATGGAGGTAGAAACTCCCAAAACCCCAAAATCTCTCAAATGGCCGAATTTTTGAGAGGCAATATCTCTCTCCACAATGCTCCCCACTCAAAACAAAGCTAGGATTATGAAAGAGGGGAAGATTTAGAGTAGTTTAGGCTTTTGAATCACCCAAAACGGTTGGGATTTGCTCCCACTAGGTTTTCCCTCCTTCTTCCTCTCTTCTCCCTCTCTTCTCTTCTCCTCCTTTCTGTTTGCTGTCGACGGGCAAAGGGGGGGGGGGAAATGGGTTCTTCTTTGTTCTTTAGTCAATTAACATAGGTTAAGTGACTTTAAGCGGGTATTGGTTCGTCTATCTATTCAACTCCATTAATTACCAAACTTTACCCAAAAGTCTGGAATATTATTCTAGGAATATTTATAATTTTATTTTTATATTTTGGGCACTTTCGCCATTACCCATTTATACCCCTTAATTTTCACTGAGTACACTTTTTAACTCCAAGTGACTCAGATTCATTTAATTAAGTCTTATACTTAATTTTACTCACTAAAACATGCTTAATTATTTAATTAAAATTAATCAATTAAATGCTTAAGTTTGGGATATTATATTCACCCCACCTTTTTAACGATTTTGTCCTCAAAATCGACGAAACCACTCATTCAATCATCTATGGATTTATCGGAGAACTCCTCTTGTGTTCCCGAAGTTACCCTATTAATCAGTTCCTCTTTTCCTCATCATCTTATCATAAGATGAAATGTTTCATTCATGATTCAATCTATGTTTTATAATTAGGTGATACTAATATGTTCAAGCACTTTTATCTTTCATTTTCCTCAAGGGTCATACCTATTCACTTGATATTTAACCCTGACCTTCTGCGGTCCTACTAATAACCTCATACATAAAATCTCATATGATGGAACTTTCAAGAGAGATTCGCTACGGGCTGTTTCTCTTAGGTATATGACCACGAGGAGGTCCCGAAGGCTAACTCCAAGGGAAGTTCCCCTCAATCTGGGCCTTTCATGAGAATTCTCTATCTCATAGGATACTATTCTCATGGAGGTAATACCACTACATCCATGGAAAGGTCAATGCATACAACTTACCATCTTTTAGCAATCAATACATAGTCTAGTCTTTAATTACTAGACATAACGAATCACACAATCATAATTGAGTCCACAGTCTAAGCATGTGTGGCTCCAACCTCAATAAACTATGCATGTTATATTAATCTACATGCGCCATACCTCCCATCAAGTGTGGGAACCTCTCTAGCTGGGGTTGGGTCGAAGTGCTAACATGTGCCGCTGCTGGAAGATCAGAGGCCACTTGCACATGAGCAACTCGTCCCACAATCTGGGGACAATCCCTCGCATAGTGACCAGGTCTACCACATCTGAAACATACATTCTGGCCCATCAAACAAACGCCCTTGTGATGCCTACCACAATTGTCACACTTTGGCACAATAGGTCTTTCATTGTCCCAACTCTGTTGACTCCCGCTTCTTTTAAACTTTTCTTCAGACTGTCTAGCTTGCAATTTTTCTTTGATATTCCTGTCATCCATCTTCTTACCCTTTTCTGAAATAGAGCCAGTTGTTCCACTAGCACCAGATGCTTGTGTCTCGGAAGACTTCTTACTTTTCGGCACACCATAAACTTCTTCCACCTTCCGACATTGGTTCACGAATCTACTTAACTCTCGGATGTCACAATTTGACATCTTCCGAGACATCTTCTCATTTAGACCCCAT